TAACAAGCTAATGAAGATAGTATGATAACAATTGTATATTTCATTATATTATTATTGCATTTTCCCCTGAACATTGTTGGAAGAAACTCATATTTACTTTTATAATAAACTGTAATGATAAATAAATTCAACATAGTAAATTTACAATAAAGACTGGTGAATACTGAAGACATAGTTTTAATTTTAAAATCTTATATGTGCATAATAATAAAATGCAGTAATAATGCAGTTTTGAAAGAATTTATACTAGAGTACAAACTCAAATATTTTTGAAATATAGTCATCTTTTCTTATTTGTGAACACTATTCTAAATAGTAATCTGTAAAATAATCTCTTAAAATCTGAAATTAAACACATCTGATAATCATATTTTATTGCAGAATGTCCTTAAGGAAAGGTGGTTGCACTAGGATAATGACAGCTAGTTTTCACTCAAGTGGGGAAGATATTTTAAGTACTGACCTTGTTTAAATGATATAATCTAATTGAGTTTTTCTCTCTTTTTAAGTAAATGAGGCTAAATTTGAAGGAATTAGTTTGGCTACTTTTAATTTTCCAAAGTAATGGAATATCTCATTTTTTACTAAAAAATTGAGGAATATTTTCTTTGTACTGAATTATGTGAATATTTTTAAAGTTGAATTTTAGGATAAATAAACATGATTAAAAATTATAACCTTTAGGATCCTGAGGAATCAGGCAAACTGTCAATTCGTGTCTGAACAGTTAACAAAAGTGAAACCTACAATCTTTTAGGCATGATGCTATCTAGTGGGGATGATGGATCAGGCAAGATCCCTTCCTCAAAGAGCTCATGGTCCAAGAGGAGAGAGACAAGAACAAAAGCATGTTGATAGTCCAGCAGTATTCCAGAGATATACACAGCATAATGGTAGGTATCATTGGAAGGTAGCAACTACCAGCAGAAAGAACCACTAAATGATCAGGGAAAAGTAATTTGGATTTGAGAATAATTTAAAAATTGGAGAACAATATATAAAATAATTTCTCCCGTGGTGTTCCACATCATGTTCCAAGCCTATGCAATTCCTCCTCATTCTCTTAACTAGTTTGCTTTCTTTTTTTGGTTTTTCTTTTGGTACCAGGGATCAAACGAGTCCTTGAGCTTGCCAGGCAGGTGGTGGAACCACTGAGCTCAATCCCCAGCCCCCTTAACTAGTTTTCTTTTCTTTTCTTTTTTAAAAAAAATATTTATTTTCTTTTATTTCTTTTATATTCCAAGTTAAATTTGCTGATACCAGGGGTTCTTTTTAATTCTAGAATATTTTGAATAGTATCACTAAGAATAATTAAGCCTTAAAAAGAAACATTTTCCAGGTTCATCTGCATTGCTGCAAGTGGTCAAAGTTCCTCCTTTACTTTCGAAGACTGAATTATAAACCTTCAAATGCATACACTACATCTATTCATTGATATGTTGATGAACACAAGTTGATTCCACAGGTAAACTATAGTGAATAATACTGCAATGAATATGAAAGTATGGATATCTCAGACCCACTGATTTCAGATTCTTAGAATATATTCTAAAAATAGGATTGGTAGAAGTCAAATAAAGTGGGATAGCCTTTAAAAAATGAAAGAAATTCTGTCACTTGTGACAATACAGATGAACCTGGAAAACAAGTGAAAAAAGTCAGGCCCAGAAAGAAAAATATTGCATATCACTTGTACATGAAATCTAAAAAGAAGTCACAATCACAGCAATACAGAGAATGGTAGTTACTAGAGCTTGGGGAAAGAAAGTGAAAAGAACTGTAGAGATGTTGGTTGAAGAAAACAAAGTTTCAGTTAGATGGGAGGAATAAAGTTCAGGGATTTATTGCACAATGTAATAATTGTAGTCAATAACAATATAGTTTAAAATTGCTAAGAGACTAGATATATGTTATGTCATGGTTATGTTAATTAGATAAAATCATTTCATACTGTAAGAATGTATTAAAAGTTCATGTATCTCATACACTTATGAAACTATTGTTTATTAGAAATGAAATAAAAAAAACAAAATCATTTCTCAGTTCCTCATCTTCAGAGCACTTGAAAAAAAAACTCAAAATTTTCATTTTTCAATTATAATGTACAGTACATTATCAACATATGACTGAGTTCCATTCCAGGTGAACATTCCTAAGTCAGACTCATTCTTAAGTCCAACCAAGAGAGACTTATATACCTTTGACACAAGTATACATTAAAAATAGCAATAAAAATAGCAAATAGTAGGGCTCGGTATTTAGCTTAGTGGTTCTGCCTCCTACCCCGCAGGCGAAAGGACTTGAGTTCAATCCCCGGTAGCAAGAAAAAAAAAAAAAAATAGCAAATACAGACACTCACACAAATATTATACACTATTGCAGTGTATAATAAGCACACATTTGCACAACTGTGACAATATCCGGCAGACATGTGGGCTACTTCCGCAATTTGTTCGCATCCATGAATGTTTATAATTCAAGGTCCATTAATTTCTGTGAATGTTCACAAATCAAATGTTCGTGAGTAGGGGACTTACTGTAATTACAGAGGGTGTTGGCCACATCTGAACACTTTTGCTTTTGTTCCTCCTCCTATCCACTTTGTTTAAGTTCATAAATTTCTAAACACTGTGTGGCAGTAGCAGTTATTTGAGGCTCTAACTTTACCGACCAGGCTAATACAATTACAAGTGACGGAGCCCGCCGTCACTTGTCGAACAACACCTGAATGGAGGAGTGAGAATGAAGAAAAAGAAAGGCAAAGAGACAGAGTCGGGGGAGCTCCCAGCATTCAAGCTACTTTATTGACTTTACTGCTCTCTTTTATAGCACTCAAGAATAGAAAACATCTTACATAAGGCACATCTCGAAATTCCCCAGGCCTTGAGACAGTCCCGTGTTTTCTTTTCCCTAGCTCCGTGTCCTTGTGCTGTTCTTATCACTTTCTCCTACGCGTAACTTCTTCAGAGCTGGGCAGCAAGCTCTACAATATTTCACTTAACCCTTTCATAGGAAATCCAAGTTGTCCGCCTTAATGCTTATAGAGCTGTTGGCTCTCCACATACAAGGAAATCTTGTTTGCTGGAATCTAACACCAAGCCACCACTTTGTCTATCTGAAGCCAATGATTCACAGGCTCATTTTCCACTAACAATTATATATTTCATTCTACAATAATAAAAAGTATTTGAAATTGTTATAGGTTTCAATATAATTTGTTATTTATGAGATCGTTTTGAAGCATGAGTTCCTAAGGCCAGCTTGACTGAGAGGAGCATTCACCATGTCTGGAGGACAGAGACATTGTGACAGCAACAAAATAAATCCTTATCTCTATCAGATGTTTATGACAAATAGAAAGTTGAAAATGAATTATTACCTAGGAAAAAAGTCTACAAGGAAAAAATGAAACTGTATGTATTTATACTGCATAACAAATGTAATTTTTCAAATAAAAATAATTTCTTTACTAATATGCTTATTAATGACAAACAAATTGCATATGGAGCTTAAAGTTGTGTATTATGAACTATGTCTTAAACTTCACTATTCTTTTTATAATTAAGTCTCAAAGAAATGTTAAATCTAAGCACATGAATAATTCTAAATTAAGGGATCAAGACAATTCTCAATTACAAATTTGAGTCAGTTTTTAACAAGCTAATGAAGATAGTATGATAACAATTGTATGTAAAATCATTATTGTTACTGAATTATTTCCATGAAATGGAGTTAAAATGAAATTTGAATATTTAAAGGGATTTCATTTGTATCTTGATTTTATTTTAGCATTTTTGTCTATAAAATATGACAAAATTAAAATGTTTAATTTTAAAAGTGCATAATATTTTGAGAAATTTTAAGGCTCTAAAGTCATATACATTTTATTTCTATAAAGTTGTGTTTAAATGACTACATTTTCACTATCCTGTGGATGCAGGTGCTAATTTCCTCTCTCAATTTCAATATGAGCATATAACATTACAATCTAATATTCTGGTGATAGTGATATCCCAGAAATAATAATGTACAGGCCAAAAATGTATGACAATTTTAGCATATTTATCAACTTTAAGCTTTGCATCTCTTATTGTTTGACATTATATACATGATATTATTTAGAATTATAGGCATATATTTATATGAAAATAAATATATAAACAGAAATAACCACTATATTTCATCTCATCATAAATGACATCATTGACATATTATTGTATTTGCATTTAATCTTTTAAAAATGAACATGTCTTTTACATGTAAATTAAATTATATACATATTTAGAAATTAAATACATTTTAAATGTGTCACAAATGATGTTATTAATTTCATAAAATACTAGTATATAAACTGATAGTATTGAAATGTGAGAATGCAATAACCTACCTATTGTGCTGAAATTAGGTTGACTTTTGAAAAAAATTACATGTATTTTATATGTCTTCATTACATATTTTAAAAAATTAATGTGTATGAATATATTTTTCCTAGTACATAACAGAGAGTCAGGAAATGTTCCCCACAATCTTATTTATGTTATTTTTCTAAAACAGATGTGGGGATCTATAAATGAAAGACCCAGTAAAAAGATTCACTGTCATCTGAAGAATCAAAGGCACAGCTTCGGTCAGGTATCTGTGTTTTCCTAGCCCATATGCAATTTTTCATCAGATATCTTTGTACCAAAAAGAAATCTAGTTAGTTATTCAGTTTACATATCACTTTTTCAGGGAATCAGAGAAACAGAACTATGTAGGTGAGCAAAGATCAAATGTTCATGTAGAAGGAGGAGTTATGATAACCGTGGAGACCCTCAAAACTACTATTTTACTATTTCTAGATTTTGTTTTCTACATATTCATGGAAAATAGCTTTGTACTTTTAACAAGTATATTTGAAACATATGCTAAATGTTTAAATTAAGAAAATATTACAAAAGGCCAGGGATTTAGCTCAGTGGTTTCGCTGCCTGCTGTGCAAGCACAAGGACTAGAGTTCGATCCCCGGTATCAAAAAAAAAAAAAAAAAAAAAATTACAACAAAAGACACACTGTCATTAACCCCCCTCAAAAGTCTCCCCCTAACATGCATATTGAATATTCATATCATGTCATTCTTGTAGCTTTCTAAAGCAGCTCTGGAAGTCCTGTTTCTTGAATGTCTCTTCATGATGTGATCAAAAATACAGTGAATGCTTCTGCCAACTATCATTAAAGAGAAAAGAAGGCTATAAAAAAATCACTTTGGGGGGCCAGGGATTTAGCTCAGTTGTTCTGTCGCCTGCCTCTCCAGCACAAGGTCCTGAGTTCAATCCCCGGTACCAAAAAAAAAATTAAAAATCACTTTGTCTCCTCATTACTTTATTCATCTGACATGAAATCATACAATCTGGCTCTTCCCCAAAGTCAAAGTAACTATGAAAAGTAAACATTTTGAATCAATTCAGGATATCAAGGCAGCCATGAGAGTGCAACTAAAGATACATAGGTACACATAAAGGTATATTGGACAGCATATAATATATATATAATTTAATAATGTATATATTACTTATATAATTCTAGTATGTACATTGTGCTTAAATGTACATATTGACAACTTGGACGAGGTCTAGGGATAATTTTTTAAAGAAATATTTTGTTCTTGTGTCTTACTGATAAAGTTTTTAAGTGTTGGAAATATGGATTCAATTATAATATTAAAATAAATTCAGTTACAATATGAGCAAGATCATTAGTATGACCATAGAATATTAGCAAGATCATAGTATTAGTAAGACCAATATATTTTATACTTTTCATGTATTTCATAATTTTATAAAAATAAGGCATATATTTCTAAGTATTAGCTCTTTGTTCTTATTTTAGCACCACTTACTATATCTCCCCTCCAATTTTTACAACATGACCCTCTTCTGTTCCCAAAATTATTTCTCTCTTTATTATTATGACTATTTTGTAGCCAAACATCATGGTCTATCCAATGTTTACTTACACAAGAAATTTTGTTTCTCAACTTTAAAATTAGTTGAAATAAACTTACTCTTTCTCCCACATTTAATACAGTATTTTATCTTGATATTTCATTATTTGTTTTGATCATTTATAGTCATTTTTTAATTTTCTCAGTGGATAACATCAAATGTAAATATACTGAGGCCCAAATATAATTGACTTGAAATCATGTTTCCACTAAAACTCTCCCTAAATTCATTGCAGATTTATTGAATTTGTATGTCTTTAAGTAATTGTATGTTTTCAATATCTTGAAAATTTTTTCCACAAACACCACTTTGTTATTATACTAACACAAGGTTATCATTATTATTACACTAACACAAGGTTAAGCCTCAGCTATTTGCTTTAATTTTCACCCAAAATATAAACAAACAAAATATATATTTGCATGTAACCTGCATTTGAAATAGTAAAATTTACTAGTTATTAGTTTGTGTTCATTTTGGTGATGATGGTGTATTGTATAAAGCACTAGAGAATGATAATAGATACCAAGATCTAAAAGTTTCAATGATAGACCCTCTTAGATGGAATAGTAAAGAGCAAGAAGATATATGAATAACCCAAATATTTTCACAGACCTACACATACTCCTTTGCATAACTATCTGTGTCTACATTAAGCTAAACATGAGTTTATAGTGATATCTCAACTTTAATCCATTCATATATGAATCTCCTTTGTCTCTTCCAGTTGCTTTTCTGTTACCTAATAAAAGTGAGAAAGTTGAAAATTTTCTATGATATGGCATTTATTTATTTGTCTTCTATAAATAGATAGTGGTTTTAGAATTGTTAATCTGTATGCACATAGGAAATGATTTCAAAAATAAAATATATGGAATTAATTTTGTCTGTTTTTTAAATATTTACACTGTGAATGTTCCTAATAATTAATAAGCATTAATATTTTCTCAATCACAGAAAAATATGTCAATCTCTCAGACAGAAGGCAACGTATGTAAAATGCATATGTGATGATGGCAAGGCAAATGAGTGAAATATACATTACTTTCTTTTGGTAAGCCTAACTAACTGTACTTTGTGCTTGTATATTTCTTGTCTACTCAAACACTCTGCTGATATTTTAATCATAAAAAATAAAAAATTTGAATTTTGACCTATGTTATTGGCTGAATATACTCCAAAATTCATGTGTTGAAACAGAATTTTCAATATGTAATGTTAAGAGGTTAGGCTGGGGATATAACTCAGTGACAAAACTTTGCCTAGCATATGTGGGATTCTTGCTCAACTCAAAGCACCACAAAAATTAAAAAAACAAGAAATACTAGTTTCTGAGAAGTGAAAAATAATGAAGGCTATGCCTTCATGAATGGACTGACACTTTATGAAAGGGCTGTTGGCAGCTATCATTAAGATCTTTTCATCTATTTTCCTTAACCACACTATGAGACTGTTCCAACAACACTGCTTTTTGTGGAAGACAGAGTAACCCTCATCAGATGTTGAATGTGACTTTGCCTTGATCTTGGACTTTCTAGTCTCCATAATTTTTGGAAAATAAATTTCTGTTCTTTATATCTTATCTAATCTGTAGCATACATATATTAAGAAACCCACAAACTCTTCAAAGGAATTGAAGCAGCTTATAATACTATATATGTAATAAACTATGTTGGAAGAAATAACATCTCTCAAATAAAACAGCTAATAATTATGTTCTGGTTCATCTTATAGCTGTTTATTTGGTTCATCTTACCTGAGAAATCAGCTAGTTGATTAGTAGCCTAATACTCAGGTTTTACTGAACACCAAAAATGGTGAATTCAACAATTTCCACTCAGAATACTTCCTGTATTCTCTTAGTTTTATTTTCCAATATCACAGTATAGAATTCCTGTGCAAAATACAATGTTTTGCCCTTTCTCTAGGGAAACAAATATAATTGAGGAAGTGTATTTGTCTTGGGACCTGTCTCACAGCAGGACAAAAATAAAAATAAATAAATAAATAAATAAATAAATAAATAAATAAATAAGCCGGGCATAGCCAAAGAAAGCTTAAAATGTACTCACTTAAATATGAAATTACTTAATGTAGAATAAAAATCTAATTTTATTTATTGGTTGATTTTACTTTTCAGTACGTTTGAAATACAAACATTCCACACTGTTAACTACAAATAAAGGCAAGATTTTGATCTTTCATTCCACCAACATGTATTATACTAATCAACATACCTCTTACTTATCATAATATGACAGCACTCCTACTAAGCTTTCTTGCTGTTTTTCCTGATACAAAATGTGCAGCCTCAAAGTAAAGCATTTAAATGGAGAAACCAATTAGCATACCACATTTCTATGTGACTTTGGGAGAAGAGGCGAAGACGTTTTTATTCTCTTTTTTAAAGAATAAATTTAAGAAAAAAAATATTTAAGATTACATAATAAGAGAACTATAAATCAAGTTCTTTTGTGTGCAAAATATTGCAGAATTTGACCTCAAAAAGTACCTTAGTACTGATAAATGTATCTCTTTCTTAGTTTGGGAAAAAGATCAAACTGAAACTTAGAAGTGTCTTGTTTTATTTTTTTGTCTGTAATACCTTTGGGATCTAAAGTTACTGTTTTATTTTCACTAGGGATAGGAACTGTCAAGAGGAAACTTATGGATGCTTATCATGCTCTACAATTTATTAGAGGACTCTTGGAATTCTCTGAGTATGAAAGTCATTTGGGAAGTTTTGTTTGTTTCATTTGTCTTTATTTTATTCTATAATAGGGGTTGGAACTGTTGAGGAAGAAGATAAATAAAAAATTGGATCATGTTGACAGAATGAAGAAGCAGTAGGAGAAGAGAAAGTACAAGAGAAGAGTGAGAAAAGATACAATCTTTAGATGTCCAAAAATTCAAAATCAAATAACATTTTAATGAAGTAAAATTATTTGGAACTTGCTACCCCAACTAACTAGGTTAAAAGAAATTTAACACCAACTCATAGTTCATGGAACTCTTCAAAAAATTAATATATTGCACTAATATTCCACTGGGAAATTTGATAGGATTAAATATGTTTATATTTCCTTAATGTTTTTTTTGTTTGTTTTTTTGTTTTTGTCTTTGCACTTCCAAGGCTGGCAGTGGAACCACTGAGCTAAATCCCTGGCATATTTCCTCAATGTAAAGAAATGATTAATCTAAATGTTAATATAAGAATACATTCTTATTAGAAAATAAGCTCATCTGTTCATGGGGTAGGTTATAATGAACTTGGATTTTTTTTCTTTTCTTTTCTTTTTTTTTTTTTTTTTTGGTACTGGGGATCAAACTCAAGATCTTGTGCTTGCGAGGCAGGCAGCAGCACCACTGAACTAAATCCCCGGCCCTGAACTTGGATTTCTGTACAATGGTATTGGAAGTGAGAAAATGTGTCAAAATTACTGTATAGTATGACTCAACACTTCTATTTGTAAGGTACTGGTTCTTCCATTTAAAGTTTTGATGCGTTATGTGATGAAATCCACTTTATTTTGTCCAGTAAGAAAAGGCTTCTAGGAAGGATGGAGCAATTCTTCTTTTAGGTTAGTCAATTTGTCCTTGTATGTAAGAGACAGACTAATCTGAACAGTTTAAGCTTTTATAATTGAGCAATGCTGCCAATTTGATTTTAGGGCTATTTTTATCCTTAGGTTCTAGTTCTAGTTACAGTTAATATTTGCAAGGCCCCTGAGTGATTGGGCAGTGTTCTATAGTAATGAATATTTTCTGTGAAAGTCAATTATTTAAAAGACCTCTTTAAAGTGTTGCTGTTGAATAATATTATCTCAATGATTATTTCTTATTTTATTTTAAGGTGTCCTGGAAAATCTGTGAAACCTAAGCTCCTTTTGGATTATGATGATTCCCCTACAAACTACCTGTAAGCAACACAATATATAAAGTACGGTCTATTTTAAAAACTGAATAGATTTTTGTAGATCAAGAAAGCATGATGAACAAATTTAAGAAAAGTAGATTCTAAATTAGCACATGATGATTTCCAGTTTTTTCTCATCACCGTAGAGTATTTTGGATACATAAAAGCCCAGCTAATGATAATGAATATTTAGAAAAAGATGACCTCCCATATTTACTCTGCTTACACTTAAATGTAAGGAAATTTTTTAAAATGCTGAGGAGCTCTGGTTGTTTAAAGCAGAAAATCATGAACTCAACAAGATTAAAAGAAAAAAGATAAGTACAAAAGAACCTCTTGTAAGATTGCTGCTGGATAACCAGAAGAAATTGGTGGTGAAGTGCAGCTCCAGAAAGGACATTGTGTGCCACACCCCACACCCCATGAGTACCACCAAAAAAGGGCTAGGGAGAAACCTTCAACCAGAATCATCCTTTACTTGTGCTTTCTGATTCTGATATGCATTTATTTTGATGTTCAGTGGGTTTGAGTTATAGTGTATCTTTGAGGAGAAAATATATCTCATCTTCTAGACATCTGGTTATAAAACTCTGTATTTGTCAATGTTTTTAATTGCCAGTCATTTGAAATAATTGACTAATTCAGAGAAAATTAGCCTCCATTTTATCCACTAGTGTGTCATTTCCATGCAACCTATTTTTAGATTACAAGAAAAAGTAAGTATTCTTTGTTCAGTGAAATTGCCACCAAAACAAGCCTATTTTTAACCAAGCCATTGAAAGAAAGTGGAAGCATTACAGAGAATTGGATAGAGGTGTAGAAGTAAATTCCTTCAGAGGGGAACTCAGTATCACTTGTGGCCCAGATACAATAGGCAATGCTGAGCTTAGCAAGTTCAAAAGCTATGTAGAGAAAATCAGCATCCGTTGTTTTCTCACTGTACACTTGGTTTGTACATAGCCAGAAAGCAAGAACTTCATTTATCAAATATGTTCTATATCAACGTGGATGTCCTCAGTTCTGGAGCTGATAGCCAACCTCTTCAACAAGGAGAATCAGTATACCAAATAAAACACATGTATTTTGTCAACAGACCATAAACTATGTCAGTGTTTGATGTTCCACTGATGATTCTGAGCCTTCAAAACTAGTAATGGTTTTTGTCAGCTTTGGAAATTGAGATTAAAGACATTAAAGAAAGCTAGTATAATGATGACAGTGTCTGTATTTTCTCAAGGCACACTTCTGCCCTTTCTTCCATTTTTGTCACCATCATAGAATATTTACCCTTACCTTTTCCCAAACTCTACTTAAGTATTACGCAGTTTTTTTACTATAAGCAAGACTATTTCATCTAATTGGACAACTACAATGACAAATGTGCTTCCAATCAGATGTTGAGCATCAAAACTAATTTGGTGAGGTGTACTGCCTCTTGATTAATATCTCTGTGTCTGAAAGGCGATATTTTTCTCAGTAATCCTGATTTATTCTGGTTCTTTTAATTTTACTAAGATATATTTTAGCAGGATTACATGGTCCCAAGTTCGTAGGCAATGATATCTCCATTTCATATGTTTGATGAAAAATAATGGCTCTTTTTCTCTCTGGAGAAAGATTTAAGTTCCAACACTGACGCCAATAATTGGCAAAAAGAAAGAAATCTCAACCAAAAAAAGAAGATATCACTCTTTTGGAACTGATAAATAAAAATTGAATCCTCAATTTCCATACGTGATTCTGTCTCCAGAAGTATTTTGCAATACTTCTGACTGAACTCATTTACACAAGATAGGCAAGTTACCTGTGATTGAAGTACTGTCTTCTTGCAATACCTCATTTAAAAATACTAAATGCAAGGCACTGTGCTCAATATTTTGAAAGTCACATGAATAGATGATGTATATATTACAGGTTAAGAAAGCATAAATTAGAAATTGGTACAGGTATGTTTATATTGCTATCTATGTCACATTAAATGCTATACAGCACACTGGGCTCCTGCCTGGCTTTACAGATGTTTGTGCCTGAATTAAGGCACCAAACATATTTTCCTGGCCCAGTTACACGCAGTCAAGTATGTCCACTAGAATTCTGAAGAATTTCTTTTCACAGGAATAAATGCTCTTCAGGTTTGGCTAAAAGTAGTACAATAGATGTCATGGAGGTGAAGAAAAGAAATTTCCTGAGCGCAGCCACACTTTTGGCATTCCATGTTGCTTTGTTTTGATTTCAATTATATGCAAAGAATTTCAGAACAATACATATAAACGTGATTACATGTATGCTTTTTTTAGTTTTCAAAAATTTTAGCTTATTTTATATCCAGTGAAATATTTAAAAATTCATATAAAATAATGTAATATCTTTGGGGTTTTTTGTTAAATTCTTTTATTGGTACATTTTAGGTACACAACACAATTACATTTCTCATTGGGAACTGTACCTTTACATAATGCATCTTGC